TACAGTGCTGCGGTACTAGGGGTGGTCTCAAGAAGCCATCGTCGGAGAGCGTCATTGGCGGCGCTATTGTCGGATCTGTTGATGCTGTTGTGCGTCTTTCCTCTTGCTCCATCGTGATCTATTTTTTCTGCATTTTGTTGGCTGATGGTTTTTTGTGTGATTTTGTTGTGTTGTGATTGGGTGCAATGGTACGATGCTGTGGGTGGTGGTGTGTGGTGTGCGTGGTGGAGGTGTGCGATGCGAGGTGGTGGTGGTACACAATGAGGAGTTTATAACCAGTTATTTCGACGGCCATGGTGGTGCAGGTGATAGTGTTTGGCGTTGGTGCAGCAATGGTGTAAATGGTGGTGCAGATGATAGTTTTGGCGGTGGTGGAGAGGGTGGTTGTGGTGGTCACAATGGTACAGTTTGTTTGAGATGGTGAGGTTGTGGTGGTTGATGTTGGCTGTTGTTAGGTGGCGGTGGTCTGCCAGAGAAGTGGTCACAAATCATTTGGTTGGCTACAACCACTAAATTGATTAATGTGTGACAAATACATATTATGTGACCAATGTCAATAAAAAATGTGCGGCCTAAAAATGTGTTCAATTGTGACAAATAAGTTGGTAATTTGTGACTTAAATTAATTTGTGACTCATTAATTTGATAAATTTGTGATCGAGAAATAAGTTTGTGACCCATAAATTTGTAATTTGTGACGAAAGTCTGTTTGTGACCACTTAATTCGATAGTTTGTGACCAATTTATATAAAATTGTGGCCATATTATATATAATTAATAACATATATTTTTAATTAATTATTTTATAAATAAAATTTAATTGATATCTGATTTTTAAAATTTTAAACATTGATTCTTAGTTTTGAAATTAGTTATACTTATTCTCTTAGATATGAAATTTTTCCATTCCAATTACCTATTGCTAGTCAATAAGGGGCCCAATTAGACTGATATTTGCTTTGGGGTCCTCAATTCTTTCATGCAATGCAAGTTCATCATTCTCTTCACTCTTTCGTCTACTTTTATCCTTCAACTTTTATTTAGTTAAGGTTTAGTCTACAAACTTCTATTTAATAGCCAATTGATCATTTTCTTACCCAATTGCTTCAAAATGGGTCATTTACTAAAAACAAAAGAAAATTAACTTAAGTTAAATAGAAATTAATAATTTGACGACTTAAAAGTTAAATAATATGGTATAAATAAATACACAAATTTCGCTCATCAAATGTGCGACAATGGGCAAAATCAAATTTATGTGGATCCTTCTAACAAGATTGGGTAGTAAGGTGAAAAACATCTCTAGATCTAAGCCCAACTAGAATTAATAGACTAATTAATTCTAGTTTTGGCGATGGTGGAGAGGGTGGTTGTGGTGGTCACAATGGTATAGTTTGTTTGGCGTTGGTGAAGCAATGGTGTAAATGGTGGTGCAGATGATAGTTTTGGCGGTGGTGGAGAGGGTGGTTGTGGTGGTCACAATGGTACAGTTTGTTAGAGATGGTGAGGTTGGTGGTGGTTGATGTTGGCTGTCGTTAGGTGGCGGTCGTCTGCCAGAGGAGTGGTCACAAATCATTTGGTTGACTACAACCAATAAATTGATTAATGTATGACAAATACATATTATGTGACCAATGTCAATAAAAAATGTGCGGTTTAAAATTGTGTTAAATTGTGACAAATAAGTTGGTAATTTGTGACTTAAATTAATTTGTGACTCATTAATTTGATAAATTTGTGATCGAGAAATAAGTTTGTGACCCATAAATTTGTAATTTGTGACGAAAGTCCGTTTGAGACCACTTAATCCGATAGTTTGTGACCAATTTATATAAAATTGTGACCATATTATATATAATTAATAACATATGTTTTTAATTAATTATTTTATAAATAAAATTTAATTTATATCTGATTTTTGAAATTTTAAACATTGTTTCTTAATTTTGAAATTAGCTATACTTATTCTCTTAAATATGAAAATTTTCCATTCCAATTACCTACTGCTAGTCAATAAGGGGCCCAATTAGACTGATATTTGCTTTGGGGTCCTCAATTCTTTCATGCAATGCAAGTTCATCATTCTCTTCACTCTTTCGTCTACTTTTATCCTTCAACTTTTATTTAGTTAAGATTTAGTCCACAAACTTCTATTTAATAGCCAATTGATCATTTTCTTACCCAATAGCTTCAAAACGAGTCCTTTACTAAAAACAAAAGAAAATTAACCTAAATTAAATAGAAATTAATAATTTGACGACTTAAAAGTTTAATAATATGGTATAAATAAATACATAAAATTGCGCTCATCAAATGTGCGACAATGGGCAAAATCAAATTTATGTGGATCCTTCTAACAAGATTGGGCAGTAAGGTGAAAAACATCTCTAGATCTAAGCCCAACTAGAATTAATAGACTAATTAAATACTTACCTGTATAGTCTTAACAAATTTTTTTACACCTCATGAAACGTCATTGCCGGATTCTCGGACCTCCGTTGCTCCACATCCGCTCTCAATTCCCACACCCAGAACACAATCTTACTCACAATTCCAAAGTCCACTTCAAAAATCAACATGAGTACTTAATTTGGTAATTTTAGACGAAATTACTGCAGAATAATTTGTGGGTTCGAGTAATATTCAGAGCTAAGCATATGAAGGTGATAAATGAGGAATCAAGTCAACTGTTAGTCAGTGTGTAATTGAAGCAATTTTGGGAAAATGATGTAGTGTAGTAGTATTGTATTGCATGACAAGAAGAATAAAGTGGCATTTGTATTTATTGTGGGCAGGGAAAATGAGAAAGGCAGTTGAAATGGACCTACATTTTTTTATGACTATGGAGACTCGTCATTTTCAGGCCACTGGCTCAACCTTTCCTGGTGTTTCGATTTACATTGATGACGTGTTGTTGGTCTGGTTTGGGTGGGGTGGGGTGTTGGACTTTGGTAAGTGAAGATCTTATAGCTTCGTGAATAAGAACTTTTGGCTTCAAGAAGTGTTGTATGTTGAATCAGAGATGTGATTTCCTGCTTACACTAATATCAAAATACATGGAAGTCAAATTAACCAAAGGCTTTGTTATGTGGTTAAGAATAATTTTCTAGATGACATCTAATATAAATAAATTACTCAAATAAAGAAGTTCAATGAGCACTCGAAACGACATGAAAAACTTTTAAGGTTGATACAGTATTGGTATGGAGTTTGGTTTAAGGTTTCTTTGCGAAAAAGGATTTGGGGATGTTGCTAGCTTCTAGGATTTGCAGTAAAATTGGCACGGGAAGCAAAGGAAGTTGCTGCAAATGTCTATGTTGCAATGCGATATTGGCACCCATTGACTAAGGAACCTATTCAACAGGCATGTTACAAGAGTTGAAACAAAATATGCTTTCACACGTGCTCATTCTTTATTTATATCTCTACATTTGGAAGCATTCTAAGTAGATTCTATATTTTCTCCACTTACAGATGGTGTTTTGCAAGAAACAATTCACATTTTTTATTGCTAATATAAGTGAACAAAAAAAAGAATATGCATCAAGACATTACATGACATTGTAGGTAAAAAGAAAAAGCTACTCCATCTCGTTCTCCAATTTATCGTTTTTGGTGCAAAGTTTTTGTCGTGTTTGTTGCAGGGGAGAGGATACATCCTTTACAGATAGATATAGACTAGCGATCAGCCTTTCGTTGGCAACTACTACTTTACTAAAGAAGCAAATTCAATATCGGTATTCTCATGGAATAGGTCAAATTGTCAGTTACTAATATTTAGAAAGGGTGACTTTGTTTTATATGTGTTCTAAATACACATGATGTCTTTAATTTTATTTTTTAGTGCGTTTCTTTGTACAGTAATATTAGCTTTTGAAATTATCACCTTGTTGGATAGAGTATTGTCGAGGCAATAATATGCTCTCAAAACTCTTGAATAATGCGATAAATCTTCAACAATTTTTTCTCATTTTTTTTTAACATCTACAATTTCTACACTAATAAAAACACAATAGATACAAAATTTGTGCAATGCACATGTCAACGACTAGTTATGTTAAAAATTTAAAAGACAAAGTGGAGGTGAGAGGAATCGATCTCCATGCCTATCATTTGCGAAACAAGGGCCCCACCATTTAAGGAAAAACCACTTTACTGTGAGTGAAGTAAAGTTAAAACATTTTTATTTGTAACACTTCATTTATATGTAAATTTTTTTGTGGGCTGTGCCAGCACGAGAGGCCGTGCTGACTCACCAGGTGCTAGCTCCATCCCTGAAGCCACCCATTACATTGATTATTACATAGATAATTGAAAACTTGAGTTGACATGTTCGCAACATAATATCAATGAGATATTTTCTATATGATGCACGCATTTCTTAATGTTATAAATAACAATTTTATTTAGCACTACTGGAATTACAAAATCAGTCTAGATGTCACTAAATATCATTAAACGAAAGGTATAATTAAATAAATTACATAATTCCACATTTAAATAAATTTATCGTATAATGTCACATAAACTAGTGCTCTAGCAAATCTGATATTAAATAGCATTATTCTAATAAATATGCTCCATTATATACAAAGTTCTAGCCAACGCATCGAAGTATTTATAGGAAATTTGACAATCTCGAAATTAACAAATCAGTAATTCCAATGAATACCGATTTCAATCGAATACTTATAAAAAAAGACATGCCAAATTATTTTAATTTTGAAAACTTGTGATTATGCGAATTCATAAATTCTTACCCCGATTGTCTCCTTTTTTCAATAAACTTATCTTTGTGATAAATAAATCTAATACATAAAAGTACATAAATCAAATGAGAATACATAGAGAAGATCCCACCAAAATTGTCTCCTTTGTTAATCCAACGTACAACTTACCTTTATAAATATATACTTGCAGCCTTCATTCATTAATCCTCTCTACATAAACTTGCAGCCTCCATTCATTAATTCTCTCTCTCTCTTTTCTTTCATAAAAACATGGCGTTGGCACTTGGCTCCTCAAATTCGTTTATCAATGTAAAAGATAATCAAGGTTTAAAATATCGCCACGATTTTTCTAGCATGGTAAGTTTTGCTCAAACTAAGCCGTGGTCGTGCCAGCTCCATGCAAAGAATTCAATGCATGAACCGACTCGATTTTCATTGTTACAAGGAAGTGAAAATGAGAAAAGAGAGAAACTTCATGAGCTAGTAGCCCCTCATAGCCATCATGGTTTGAGAGTACCGGTTTTTGTCATGCTACCACTTGATACCATATCAAGTATTAGGGGGAATTTGAACAAAGCGAGGGCGGCGTATGCTAGCTTATTCAAGTTGAAAAATGCAGGAGTCGAGGGAGTCATGGTTGACACGTGGTGGGGATAGGTGGAGACAGATGGAACATTGAAATATAGTTCGGAAGGGTATGCTAAGCTTGTAAAGATGGTGCAAAAGCTTGGTTTGAAACTTCAAGTTGTTATTGTAAGGATTTTTTAATCAATAGATGGACTTATATGTGTGAATAATTGTGTGTTAAATTAAAGGCTATCGAATTCGGTTGAGCCCAATTAAAGTGATCTAATAAGGTTTCGATTTTGGGATTTAATGTATCCAATTAAAGTATGGGTTTAAATATGTGTGGAGACCGGACCCAAGTCTTAATTCTATGATGGGCCGAATTAGGTCAAAGGGCGTCCCTATATAAATAGGTTATGGTCCCCAGATCACACACACGTATTATTCATTCTCTACTGCATCCCATCATAGAGAGGAAAAGGAGACTGCGTGTAAATTTAGAAGATTATACCGCAAAACTCATTATTGCATTAACCATGTCTGATTCAGGTACGCTCCCGCTTTAATTCTTGTATTTCTTGATGATTTAACATGAAAGATCCGGTAATTTAAAGCATTAAATTATCCTTCAAGTGGTATCAGAGCCTATTCATGTTGAATCATTGGGGATCGAATAATTTAATTAGGTTCTTGTAATATTTTATAAAGTTTTCAGATTTGATGATTTATGATTTATATTTTGTTGAATTTGAAAACTTTTGCGGTATAATTTTTGTTATTTTCGAAATTCGGATTAATGGTTAAGAAAAAATTCAGATTTGGATTTTGATTTTGGTGATTCAGATTTCAGTAAAGATTTAAAAAAAATTAATATATTCCGGCAGCGGCGCCACGCTCAGCACTGCTGCGTGAGCCGGTGCCGTTACTCCGGGCGGAGTCGGAGTGCGCCGCCACCAGAAAGAAGGAGAAGAAAAATTTCTGTAAGTTTTTTTTTCTTTCAGTTTTCTGGATTTTTTGGGGCGAGGGCCTCTTCTGTAAATTAGATGATTTGAGGCCCCTGGATGCAATTAGGGTTAGGGTTATAAAATTAAGGTTTCAGTCCCTAACCTTTAAGTTATATTAAGTTTTGGGCCTTTAAGTCTTGAATTTAATAATTCAGTCCCTAAAGTTTTAAAATTAATTAATTCGGGCCATTAAAGTTCTGAATTTATAATTAAAACCCTCAAACTTTAATTATTAATTCAAATTGGCCCCCTAAGTTCATAATTAATTCAAATTGACCCCTAAAGTTTCAAATTTTCAAAATTTGATCCCTAAAGTTTTGAATTGGTCAATTTTGGCCCCTAAAGTTTTAAAATTTGTTCTAATTGATCCTCTAAAGTATTGAATTAATTAATTATGGTCCATAAAGTTTCAAGTTTATTAATTTCAACCCCTAAAGTTTGGAATTAATTAATTTTGCCCCCTTAAAGTTTTGAATTATTAATCCTAAGGCCCCTAAAGTTTAAAACTAATCAAAATATGCAAAATTGGTGATTCTCTTTCTCAAATTTTGGTACCTCTTTCAAGAGATATAATATTCGAAAGTTGGTTAATCGAAGCAACATGTTGCTAAAGCAACATCTCTTGTGAAAATTGACTAACTTAAAATATTAAAAGGTGTTTGTGCTTGTGTTATTCATGGGAATATTGGTCGGCTCAAAGGAAGGTCAATATTTAGCCGAATACACGTGCACCTGTGGTGATAAACGTGTGACGATTATTTCGTTTAATGTACGATCAATAAATCGGTCCAAAAAAAGGTTTATTGATTGACACGTTGTTTTATCGTCAATGTTTAATCACTACGCCAAGAGTACCACTTACAAGTCAATATCTCTATCCGAAGACTAGATATTGATGTTGTGCTTGGTATCTTGTGATGGGCCTTACCACTATTTGAGATTATTATTATTTGCATATTAAAGATATTCAAAGTGAGCTATTCATCATAATCGTTCTCTAATTCATTTCAAGTTCTGCTACTAATATCTCTGCTAGCATCAATTCAATTCCAATTCTAAATGGCACAAATTTCAGGGCTTGGCAAGAGAATGTGACGATTGTTCTCGGAGTCATGGACCTAGACCTTGCTTTACGGGTCGATCAACCTGCTGCACTTACTGATAAGAGTACCTTTGATGACAAGAGGGAGATGGAAAAGTGTGAACGATTGAACCGCCTAAGCTTAATGGTCATGAAGCGTGCTATTCTAGAAGCATTCCGGTGCACTATGTCCGATAAGGTGACTACGGCTAAGGGTTTCCTTGAGGACCCTCTTGATTTCACAGATTATGATTTGTGTGTCAACTGTATAAAGGGAAAACAAACCAATAAAAGGAGATTTCAAGCCAATAGGACTTCGGATGTCTTAGAACTTAAATATATGGATATTTGTGGACCATTCCCTCGGGTTCTTGGAATGGTCAACAATATTTTATAACGTTCATAGACGATTTTTCAAGACATGGCTACGTATATCTCATTCATGAAAAATCACAGTCATTGAATGTGTTCAAAAACTATAAAGCTGAAGTTGACAACCAACTTGGCAAAAGGATTAAAAGCGTCAGATCTAATCGTGGGGGTGAATTCTATGGTAGATATGACTGTTCAGGTGAACAGCATCCAGGACCGTTTGCTAAATTCCTAGAGGAATGCTGTATCGTCCCACAATACACTATTTCGGGTTCGCCCATTATGAATGGTGTTGCTGAGAAACGAAACAGAACGCTTAAGGACATAGTGAGGAGTATGATTAGTCATTCTACCTTACTAGAATCTCTCTGGGGTGAAGCATTAAAGACCGCAGCTTATATACTCAACAGAGTTCCAACTAAGGCCACTGATAAAATCCCATATGAGCTTTGGACGGGCAAGAAGCCTAGTTTGAAGCATATACATATTTGGGGGTGTTCAGCTAAGGCAAGGCCCTATAAGCCAAATGAAAAGAAACTGGACGCAAAGACCATCAGTTGCTATTTCATTGAATATTTTGAAAGGTCCAAAGGTTACAAGTTTTATGATCCCACAACTAAGGCAATTTTCGAGACAGGAAATGCTAGGTTCTTTAAGGATGTTGAGTTTGCGGGGGAGAAAGGTTTACAGGCTTTATCTTTGAGGGAGAATATGTTGAAATTCTTCCAATTGCCATTGACAATGATCAGGTTTCTATCCCTGATTTTGTTCAAGAAGCAACTCTGGATCAAGACAATGTCATACCTCCCTCTCAAGATCAACAAATTGTTCCAGAAGAACAAAATCTACAGCCTCAAGAACCAATGCCATTAAGAAGATACACTAGAGAGAGGAGAAGTGCAGTTTCGAATGATTACATCGTATTTCTCCAAGAACATAAAGTTGACATTGGAATGGTGGAAGATGATCCGATCAACTTCTGTTAAGTCATGGAAAGTTCTAACTCTCAAAAGTGGCTCGATGCTATGAATGAAGAGATAAAGTCCATGAAGGACAATGACGTATGGGACCTTGTTACATTGCCTGAAGGTGCGAAACCCATTGGTTGCAAATGGATATTTAAGACCAAGAGGGATTCGAAAGGTGATGTAGAGAGGTATAAGGCTCGTCTTGTCGCAAAGGCTTTACACAGAAAGAAGGCATCGATTATAAAGAGACTTTCTCTCCGGTTTCTTCGAAAGATTCTTTCAGGACTATAATGGCATTGGTGGCACATTTCGATCTTGAGCTACATCAGATGGATGTTAAGACAGCGTTTCTCAATGGTAACATTGATGAAATAATTTATATGGTACAACCAGAAAACTTTGTATCAGACGATGCAAAGCAAATGGTTTGTAAATTAAAGAAATCCATCTATGGACTCAAACAGGCGTCTCGTCAATGGTATTACAAGTTTCATCAGGTGATCATCTCATTTGGTTTTGAAATGAATTTGGTCGATGATTGTATATACCACAAGTTTAGTGGGAGCAAGTATATTTTTTCTATTTTATATGTCGATGACATATTGCTTGCCAGCAACAATATAGGCTTATCGCACGAAACCAAGAGATTTCTAGCAAATAATTTTGAGATGAAAGATCTTGATGATGCCTCTTTTGTATTAGGAATTCAGATACACCGAGATCGTTCTCGGGGTATTCTTGGATTATCACAAAAGAGCTATATCAAAAAGGTACTTAAAAGATATGGCATGCAAAATTGTAAACCATGTGACACCCCTGTGGCTAAAGGAGACAAGTTCAGCTTAAGTCAGTGCCCTAAAAAACTTGGAAATTAAAGAAATGCAGAAGATTTCTTATTCCTCAGCTATATGGAGTCTGATGTATACTTAGGTTTGTACGCGTTCGGATATAGCGTACATTGTTGGGATGTTAGGGAGATATTTAAGTAACTCGGGAATGGATCATTGGAAATCAGTCAAACAGGTCATACGGTATTTACAGAGAACAAAAGACTACATACGCACATATAGGAGATCGGATCAGTTGGAGATCATCGTTTATTCGGATTCCGATTTCGCGGGATGCCAAAATAGTAGGAAATCCACTTCAAGCTATATTTACTTGCTTGCTAGAGGTGCTATTTCATGGAAGACTGCCAAGCAGACACTCATAACTACTTCCACCATGGCAGGGAAGTTTATAGCGTGTTATGAGGCATCAAGTCATGAAATATGGCTGCATAATTTTGTCACTGGGCTGCGCATTGTGGATAATATAGAAAGACCACTTAAGATATTTTGTGACAATAAATCAGCAGTGTTGTATTTTAATAACAACAGGAGCTCGACGAAGTCAAAACATATAGAGATCAAGTTCCTGACTGTTAAAGAAAAAGTTCAGAGTGGACAGATGTCAATAGAGCATATTGGGACAAACTCCATGGTTGCGGATCCGCTTACTAAAGGTTTGATACCCAAGGTCTTTCATGAGCACACTGCTCATATGTGTGTAATGTCTCTTGAGGATATGTAGTTTCAGTGGGAGTTTGTATTTTTGCTTTTCATTTTGAACACATGCACTGTTGTTTTGAATACGGTTTAAAGTTAAAGTTATTTTCAGTTATAAAGTTATTTGGTTAATTATCTCTAAACTTATTTAAAATGATCTCACTAAGGTATTAAAGTAGACCAGTTGGAAATAGGAATGTTACAGATCACATTACATGTAATTTTCATGCTACACATCTATACTTGATCCATGTCATTCGATTATATTGATATACGTGACCATTGATGGGTTTAGCTACATGAAAGTAGCGAAAGTCGCTTTGATCCTATGTTGATATGATTGATGGACGAGATTGTTTAGGGATACATTCGGTAATGATAACAAAATTCTGAGTACTCATAAGGTTATGTTTAATGCACAATTATAAGGTGACACATATAGTCCAAGTGGGAGATTGTAATGATTTTTTAATCAATAGACGGGCTTATATGTGTGAATAATTGTGTGTTAAATTAAAGACTATCGAATTCGGTTGAATCCAATTAAAGTGATCTAATAAGGCTTCAATTTTGGGTTTTAATGTATCCAATTAAATATGGGTTTACATATGTGTAGAGATCGGGCCCAAATCCTAATTCTATAATAAGCCGAATTAGGTCAAAGAGCGTCCCAATATAAATAGGTTATGGTCCCCAGATCACACGCACATATTATTCATTCTTTACTGCATCCCATCACAGAGAGGAAAATGAGACTGCGTGTAGATTTGGAAGACTATACCGTGAAATTCATTATTGCATTAACCATGTCTGATTTAGGTACGCTTCCGCTTTAATTCTTATATTTCTTGATGATTTAACATGAAAGATCTGGTAATTTAAAGCATTAAATTATCCTACAGTTATGTCTTTCATCAATGTGGTGGCAATGTTGGAGCTTCTTGCAGGTATGTACTAAGATGTCAATTACAATTTTATTTTATTTTTTTCACTTAATTTGCATAATCTCCCTTCTACTTGTATATATATAACAAGTGCATGACGTGTGTACCATAAGATTACTTAAGAAAGTACGTTGAATATTTCTTGTTCAAGGCTTATTTGTGGAAATAACTTTCTTGGTATTCAAATGCCATGTGCCACATTTTTAACCCAAGATTTGTTATAAGAAAACATCCTGTAAAAACATTAACCTCACAATTTTACACTAAATTTCACTTCGACCACCAAACTTTAATTTGTTTAATTTACATTTCTTGACTTTAAAGCTTGTTATAGACTTAGTTACACCACCATGTTAGTGTGACATCCATTTTTAAAGTTCGTTGATGTATTATATGAGTTGGAGATGTCAATACTAACATATAGTTGATTAATTTTTATTTTTCTTTAGTATCCCTCTACCCCCCCCCCCCCCCCTTTTTTGTTTCCCCCCCCCCCCCCCCCCCCCATGGGTGCTTAAGAGGTAGAACTCCCATTCAAGTCTACTCAGATTATAGGAGTTTCAAATGAGCACCAACAATGGGAATGAAGGATTTTCCTACATAACTATTAAAAGAAAACTAAATTGAAGGCTCAAATGTGCATTGCCAGTGAAACAAATGATTCTTGAGTTAACAAACAAGCATTTGATTTAAGGTTTTTAGTAAAGGGAAAGGGCAAAGTGGTCGGGTTATTAACGATATCTTTAGTGTAACTATTAACATGATTACATCGCCCTCTATAGCTTCCTATTGCCTGTGATGTTCATCACAATGAAGCTGATATTTCGTATTACATGAAGCAATTTTCCATCTTATTCTCAGCAGATAAATCTCGAAGATGGTTAGCAAAGGCTTCAGAATCATTATACAATAACAAAATGGTTAGCAAACAATAAGGCCATGAACAATTTCAGAAGATCATTTGAATCAAATTATTGTTAACAAACTTAGCTATCGACAAATCGATATCCCATTACTCAGTTTATTACCAACTATACATCTGTATATGTCTCCAAGACTCATTTAAATGTCTTCCATTTGACCATTAAATGAGAGTGACAAGCAAGTGAATATTTCAAAGTGATTACAAACAATCACGCGCAAAAATGACCATCTTGTGAAGGTTAAAAGCCATCATAGAGTGAAAAGAAGAGAGAGAAGGAAAGAGTGAAAAAGATTTGTACAAGAACTAATGCATAAATAACCAACAATGCATATTACATATACAACAACTCTGCCTCCTCATCCAAATGGGAAAACATTTTAGGATACATAGTAGAAGAATAAAAACTCAAAACAAATCATTCTATTGCAATACAGATTCAGTAGCTGCCATATTCAAAATCCCACAGATGGCTTCAGAAAATATATTTTTTTGGTAAAGCCAGATGCCTCCAGTAGCGTCGCAAGCAAAAGAATCTATTCAATCAGAAAAGCATGTCATGGGCAACCTCGTGTTGTGATTTGCTTGTAGCACCCTTCACTTAGGGTTCCAAAGTAGTTTTCGGCTGGGAGCTGGAGGAGCTAGTCCTGGTATGTCTCGAATGTCTTTGTTATTTGGGTTCACAATCTAAAAATCCAACACAAACAGTACTTCAGACAATGTATTGGGATCTACAAACCAGATGAAAATACACATCCCTAACATTTGAAACCACCCGAATCCTAGGACTGAACATCAACTAGAGCAATAAAAAACGAGTCTGATTTGGCATTTTTGACAAGTAGGGGGTTGGAAGTGAGCATGCACATACAGAGTTCAAGCTGTAAAAGTAACTGAATATCTACTACAGTATGGTGAAACTTGTGCAGCTACCATCATGACTCATGCGGTCTCCTTGGTGCAAAATTTTCTTACAGCATAACAAAAGATATTGATCTGTCCCTAGCAATTGGATTATTTGCATGAAATGGACCAAAAAAATTGAATAAGAAGGGAAAAAGATATATGTAGCAGCCATAGGAACATGTTTACAGCATACTATGTATACTGCATTATGAGAAATTTAGAAACTAGATGACAATGAAAATTAAGAATAGACAAACCTTTACGATAATAATGGCTAAGACACCGACCACAATAAGGAAAAGCAGAGCCATAATGCACCGATCAGTTGCAACCTGATTAATTAATCGAAGTAAGTGAAACTAAATAAGAACAACGAACCATTAGACAAATGACAGGAAAGAGATGTGAATATCTTCGAGATTGACCTGCCTACCAATTTCCTTGACCAGCTGTGAAGCCTTCTTAATTGAAAAATGGATGGAGTCCAGCTCATTAACTATCCTGCTCATTTGTTCAGTCTAGGTACACCGCACACACGAAATAGAGAGGGAGTAAGAAAAAGAAAGGGAGGGAGAGGGGGGACTTAACGTCAAAAGTTACGCATCTTAATCGCTGCCACAAGATCCAAGCCTTTTTTGTTCCAAAGTACCAACCTGAGCTTTGAGTGCTGTAGCAGTCTCTGTTCCAACGTCAATAGTCTCGTGGACAACCTATGACAAAGTGAGCATTAAACATCATGCTTTTAAATGTTGAAGAGAACTTTGAAAACTAAAGGCTATTATATCATCTGGTGCAGTAGATGAAAAATATAGAGAGTACATCTTGAATACAAAATAATGGCTTGTTTTGACATGCTTCTGGGTACTTAAGAACGCATATATAAGACACAAAAGCAGAGGCCTTCTTGATTAAAAATGGATGGAGTACAGCTTACAAACTATTTTGCTTTTAATTGGGTCTGAACATATATAAATAGGGAAGATGGAGGAGACAATGGGGAAAACTATTAATATTTTATGACTAAGTTTCTAACAAACCATTATTAATTGGAACTCTGGAACTAATATTCACTTTTCACATTGCTAACTTCCTAACATGACCATCCTGCATGAATGGGAGAAGCTTGGCCTTAATTGTGAAAGAACCATTTGAACTTCATAGAATGTTGGTGAGGTGATAATCAATATGAACTGACAACTTGTACAAACAATTAGTCACATGGAAAACAATTAATCTCCATGAATGCTATATGCCCTGGCCCAGTTCAGAAATCGTCTGGCAAATAGGGTTTAGGTAATTGTCACTTAGTTACATAGATGTGTGTTTTTTCA